CAGAATTTAAGCCTTCCTTCCTATGTTTAAGGAACTATTTAAATCATAAGAGACAGAGTTCACCAACCACTGTGAAAATGGAAAATGTCAAGCTTTGAATTTTCAACCTCCCTTGGAAGTAGATATGAACATGTGACCTAGGATAGACTAATTGGCCATAGTCTTTTAATTAGAAATTGGTGACAAAATGAAAGAGTGCTCCTGGAGGACTCATTTTGATGGTAGTTTAACAACAACAACAATCACAAAAATAATAACAACAACTGTAATATTTTATTTCCAAGTCCAGTGGCGGCAGTGGGGCAATGGTGCACAGTATTTAGTGCTGGGAATGAGAGCAGTGACAGCGAAACTGTAGTGGCCAGTGTCATCATCTCTAGACTGGTTTTGTTAATTTTGGCTGCGGTCTTAGCTCGATTTCCTACCCATTTTCAGAGCATATTTTTGTAGAACCTGGGCATACTGTCAGGAGGTGACAGTTCTAAAACAAGTATTTTGTATTATCATGCTTGGAAAAGTGGAGGGTCAGGAGAAGAAAGGAAGATCCTTTATGAAATGAATTGACACAGTTACTGTAACAATGGGCTTGTGTATGGCAGAGATTGTGAGGGTGGCCCAGGATAGGGAAAGTTTTCTATGTTCATAGGATCATGATGAGACATTGTCTACTTGATGGCACCTAACAACAGAAATATATTCCCCCCCACACTCATCTCTCCTTACCCCCCATGGCTGTGTGTGACTAGAGAGGCAGGGAGGGAGCTCCCTGAACTCCCTGAAAAGAAACTGCATCAGTTGGGGAAGCTGATAACAACACTTGCCTGCTCCACCAAGGACAATAATAGACTTTAGGAGAGGCAGCAACACTCAGATGAGAGACTCCCAACAGGCTGCACTTGATTAAAGAAGGCACAGTGAAGAGCTGGGAGGTGGCTGTCCGCAGCTCCCTGAGGAGAAACTGAGTCAGTTGGGGCAGTTGGTCATCTTCTGACCACTGAAGACAATAGTAGATTTTAGGAGAGGCAGGCACCACTGAGGCAAGATTCTTGCAGGGTTGTGCTGCAGACCAAAAAGTGCTTGAAGGACTTTAGGAAAGGCAAACTTTTCTATTGCACAGGACCTGAAGGGACTTCAGGTATAGTGATTTGTTCTCCCCCATAAAGGGAACACTTTAAGACTGCATCTAATCAAGAGTTTCATAAAGGAAAATGTCACATAACATCATGAAAGTAGCAGACAGCCCCAAACATTGTGAAAAACAAAATGAGCCTTCTAAAAAAGCACAATATGTTGCAAACCCAATAAATACTTCAGAGACAGGGAGACAGAAGAAATATATTGACATGGAATTATATGAATAGCTATTGATCAAGGTACAAATGATGGGAGAAAGAATTAAAGCCATACACAAATAAAGTGAATACCCCAGAGGCAGGAAGATAGAAGAGAGAGATTGACACGAAGTATATGAACAGCTACTGAACAAGGTACAGATGATGGGAGAGGAAAATTGAAGCTTTCAGACAAAGTTAATACTCTAGAGACAGAAAGACAGAAGAAAGACATCAATGTGGAGGAAGATAAACAACTATGAAAGAAATTGCAAAAGATGAAAGGAAGGATTGAAACCATAAATAAAGAGGTACAAGATCTTAAATAATTGTCATAAGATCAAGAGGGTGCAGCCAGACAACACAATACTAGAAACAACAGAAATGCATGAAAATGTAATCTAGAATATCAAGACAGATAACAGTAGATGTCTCCAAAATTCTGGAGATATAAAAAAGCAGAACAGAAGAGATGGAACAGAAAGTCAATGAGCTGGAAGACAAAAACTTCAAGGGGAAATAACTAGAAGAAAAAGAATAGAGAGCAGATGGAAGGAAAATGAAGAAAACTTTAGAACCATGTGAGATAAGAGAAAAAGAAACAGCATAATTATGATCAGAATGCCAGCATATGAGTGGGACAGGAAAAACACTGAGAAAATGTGGAAGAGGTACTAAAATAAAACTTTGCAGGTATCATGAAGAACAACAAAAACAAAAAATACATATTCAAGAATTTCAGTGAACCCTAAACAGACTAGATCCAGAAAGGACAAAAAGCAGGCCTTAACACATTAAAAACAATTGAAATAATATGAAATATCTTTTCAGACTAAGATGCCATAAAATTAGATATCAATGACAAGAGGATAAAGCTTATAACACTACTCAAGTGGAAGCTAAATAATACCCTGCTAGCAAACTATTGGGTGTTGTTGTTGTTGCTGTTGTTGTTGTTATTTTGTGCTGTTGAGTCACTTGCGTCTCATAGTGACCCTATGTACAACAGCCCTAAACCCTGCTCTATCCTTTGCCCACCTCATGGTCTCCAATACACCTATTCCACTACTGCAATCACAGACTCAATCCATCTCATCGAGGGTCTTCCTCTCCTGATCTGTCCCTCCACTCTCCCAAACATGATATCCTTCTCCAAGGACTGGTCTCTCCTTGCAACATGCCCAAAGTATGTCAGATGATGCTTCAGAATTCTTAACTCCAAGGAGCAGCCCCACTTCACCCTCTCCAGGACAAGCCTGTTTGTTCATTGGGTTATAGGAGAAATAAAAAAACCTTCCTGGAAAAAAATTATAATGAACATACCAAAACCTCTGGGATACAACTAAGGAAGTCCCCAAAGGACAGTTCATAGAAATAGGCAACAAAAAATGAAGCAGAATTAATGACTCAACTCAACACCTCCATCAAATAGAAAAAGAACAACAATCAAAAACTACTAGCATCTAGAAAAAAAGGAAATTATTAGGACAAGAGCTGAAATTAACAAGAAAGAAAACAGAAAAACAATTGAAACCATCAACAAGACCAGGAGTTGGTTCTTGAAAAGGGCCAATAAAATAAACAAACCCATGGCAAACTTAACAAAAAGAAAGGAAAAGAAGGTACAAATAACTTGAAAAGAAATGAAAAGATGCTATCACAACAGAAGCAGGTGAAATGAAATTGATAATAATGAAATATTATGAGAAGCTATATTCTGATAAATTTGGAAACCTATAAGAAATGGACAAATTCCTAGAAACTCACACTCTACCCAAATTGACACAGAGATGTAGAATACTTGAACAGACCCATTCCGAAAGAAGGCATAAATAAACCCTCTCCCTCAGTCCCAGAAAAAAACCCTCTGGCTCAGATGACCTCACAGCTGAATTCTACCAAACAAACATTCAAAGATGAATTATTACCAATTCTACTTATTCAAAAAATAGAAAAAGAAGGAACACACTTAGAGTCACTCTATGAAGCAAGCATCACCCTTACCAAAGTCAGGCAAAGATATTAAAAAATATTTTCAATGTTGTTTGGTTATGTGCTGAGTCAACTAAGACTCATAGAAACCCTATAAAAAAATCTGAAAATTGCCCTATTTTATGCCATCATCACAATCTCTGCCTTTCTTGATACCACTGTTACAATTATTGTGTCAATTCATCTTGTCTTCCTCTCTTTCTCTGATCCTCCACTTTTCCAGATCATCTCTTTTTCCATGGATTAGTCCTTCTTGACATCATTCCCCAAGTATTAGAGATGAGGTTTCACCATTCTTGCTTCTAGAGATTTCTGCAAAAATAATCCAGAGTAAATTTCTCTTCTTGCAACCAAAATTTCTAATTACAGAAGTTGTTACTAGGAATTGCACTACACCAAAACATAGAACCTGATTGGGAATTGACTGAATAGCAGAGGTAGGGAAAAAGCAGTCAAGATCTGAGTTTCAGGTTAGGAGAACTGGTGACCCTAGTTAGGAAATTGTAATCAATTAGTTCTTCAAGTGCATCATAAGTTTATCTATGGATCTACAAAGAAAAGAAAGTTTACATAGAGTAGTGTTGGAATTGACACAATAGGAATGAAATTGACTTGGGACTAGACAGCAAAAAAGAAGAAAATAAACTCTTCTTTGAGCTATCAATCTAAGTTATTAAAATGCCAATAATTTGAAGATAGAATGCCTTCACTTATTCTACAAGATAGATGTGTTGTGGGGAGAGATCTGCAAAAGACAGGAAATGCTTTATACCTTTAATATTACAGAAACTTTTGATCTGAAAATTATTTCAGAATTAAGTTGAATGTATTTTAGCTATGGGTCCAGATTTGTTGCTCAGAGAAATAAACAGGGAAATAAGATTTAAAATACTAATTTCTAGAAATGAAAAATCACCTTGAGACAAGTTCTTCTGAGAATTTACATTCTTTTGTAATAAGCATCTGTTAACACCACTCATCTTTGAAAATGAATGTTATTTGCACAGAATCATACCTTAAAATCAGATAGTTGTCATTCTACTATTCAAAGCTCAGAGACCTCAGTCATTTTGTCTGTTTATTGATGCATTAGCTTTTGCATTTTGCAAATAAAATAGTGACACTTACAGCTTATGTTATACAATAATCTCAGAGTGTTTTACACATAATAAAAATTCACCCTCCATTGTTCATCCAGAGAGAAAAATAGGTCCATAGGCTGGATCAGGATCAAGTGTGCTTGATGGTCAGGACCAGCTTGAAAAACAAACTGCAGACACTGGATGTAAACTTTTTCAGATTTGGTTGCTGGTGGTTGGTTCTCTGGAATAGATCACATATGACCTAGATTTCTTTTTTTATCTTCTCCAATTCCAGTGAAGATCAAGATTCCCAAAAATCTATACTCATGTTAACCACCTCATCTGTGACAGTGCTAAGATGGAAATCTACGGCAAGTTGTTGTCCATTCCATGCCTGCGCCCAGGCCAAGCAGGCTGTGCATTTGGGGATCCTCACTCTTGTGTCCATTTTGCAGGTGGCCTTGGAAGAGATATTGTCAGGTAGTTTATCCGGAAAGGGAACAGATATGTAGAGTGCCACAAAGAACTTGTAGCTTGTGGCCCAGTGCTGTGTTTGCTTTGGTTCTTTCAAAGTCTTTTCTGTGGGTCTGTGGTGTCAGCTTTCTGGGAGGGTCACACTGCTGTAAACTGTGATGGAGTCTGTTTCCTGGTGATAAAGCAGAAGATTGTGAGTCAAGGGACCAGACACAGTGTTCAAAGGCTACAGACGGAAACAGTGATTCTTAGGAAAAGGAAAAGGTCTCTGAGACCCTGTAGCTCAGGGACTTGCTCCAGGATTGCCACATGGGGGCAATCTCTGAGTCAGGACATTGCTAGAGGCAGAACCCAGTTCCCACACTGCCCATCTTATTCACAAGAAGAGCTATAGCTGCCTTCTAAGTATTCTTATGTTGTCTGGCAGATGTGAAAGCATGTTTAGAGTGATCTATCTGGCACTCAGTGCTACTTTACTCTTGTCTTTCTTTGCAAGGAACATAATTTGTTTCAGTAGTACGCATGGGATCCAATTGGGAGAAGCCAAGAGAATTTTAAATTGATGAACTAGCCAAAGGGTTAGTGAAATATTTGGAGTCCCTCGGTGGCAAAAATTATTAATTTATTAGGCAGCTAACCAAAAGTCTGGCAGTTTGAATCCACTGAAAGGCACGTGAGAAGAAAGTTCTGGAAATCTTAGCCACTGAAAACCCTATGGAACACAACTCTACTCTGACATACGTGAGGATGTCATGAGTTAGGGTGAATGTAACAGTTAGTGGGCTGAGCAGTGATGTCTGAAGAGTAAAGAGGAAAATGGTGCAGAAAGAAAAGTAAGTGTAAAGAACAGCGAGCAAAGCCCTCTCAATGGGACAGGAGATTCAAATAAAGAAAGAGACAGGAATAGGGGCAGGTAGGAGATTTTGCTATGAAGTGTGAAATATACAATTATCTTTATGTATACCAACTTCATTGAAAATCTACAATGACTTTTTAAAGCTTTTGAAGTCAGATTTAGGTTTTTAATCTTCCCTTGAATATGAAAATATACTGGAAAATCAACTTCAAAATGAAAACAGTAAGATATCTGGATCCTATGTCTATTAGGAGCTTTGAAGAAGAGTAGGTGGTAGGCATTTCTGTGGCCCTTTAATACTGGATTCTTTCTTAAAACAATTTTTTAAATACAGCTTGAGTGTATTTAAAAATTGCCCTACTGCGCACATGTAAGAAACATCAAAGTCCGAAGTCAGGATTTAGCCCAGAATTAATCTTTCTTTTCCCCCCCTAATTAGTTCATTATTTTTTTTAATACTAGTTTTTACAAAATTTGAATATATGGTTTTTCAGATATTCCAATTTCCATTACTCCAACCCCCCCCCATTAACTCTTGAATGTCCTGACTTGAACATTAATGTGGAACTTCAGAAGGATTTTGCTTAATTCTTTAGATATCTATATAGAAAAGATAGGGAGCTCTGGTGGCCTGGTGGGTAAGGAGTTGTGCTATCAACCCAAAGGCAGGCAGTTTGAATCCACCAGTTGCAGAAGTAGATCACCAGACCTTTATTCTGAAGTGCCTCTGTATATTTTTGATCTACAACCTTTCAAGTTGGCTGTCAAGCACTTAGCCATTTGTGCCACCCAGAGACTACTCTTAGATATTTTGATTTAACAGAATCCTGGATGAGAGGTTTCAGAAATCTTAATTTCTAATGAATATGTCAACTAATTCCAGTGTGCTCCTTGGACAACTCAGAAATACTAGTGAGTGTGGAGTGAGCCATAACTCTTTGAGCAGGTTTGAGGGAAGGCATTGCCACCAAGGACACAAATTCCTCTTGTTGCATGCTTGCCGTGACCTATCTCTTCATACTGGTGATGGTGGTAGTGTGTACCATCAAGTGAGAATCGACCTGTAACTGACCCTCCAATGGATTTTCAGAAGCACTAAATTGCATGGGAGGAGACTGTCCATCTTACTCTTGCTGAGCAGCTGGTGGATTCAAACCGTGTACCTTTGCATTGGACCTCATCTCCTTATACTGTTGTTGTTGTTGTTAAGTGGCGTTGAGTCACAGGCGACTCATAGCGACCCTATGAAGGAGAGTCCTCGACGCTTGGGTACCTTTCATCCTCTCTCCAGGTTCACAGGGTTTCCGGAGGCAAGCTATTATGAAAGTGGATGCCACTCTGCCTTCCAACTCCTTATACTAGGATTTCTCAATTTGTTGTGTTTTGGCTTTGTAAAAACGTACCCTTCCTCCCCCCTCCTTTTCTCACTCATTCTCTACAGAAAAGGGGTACGTAGTGATTACTCACCTGGACAGGCTCTAGGACAGGTTCTGAGGCAGCAACATAAATAGTGGTGCAGGGGTCCTGAGTTGCCAGGGCATCAGGCTTCTTCTGAACAGGCCACATGAGAAGCAAAGAGAGTGGGAGATCAGCCAGGTAGAGACTTACTTCCCATCTAACTTCCCCCAGAGGAAGAACAGATTCAAGAGGGTTTGAGTTAGGATCTTTAAGACATTTGTTCCAGCCTTTTTCCCAGATGAGCTTTGCTTGATCTCTCCCTAGTGACATCTGGGAACTCACAATCTCCCATTCTTTATTTGTGCTTTCCAGCTCTTTTAAAGGACTTCCCCTCAGTTAATGCAAATTGTTCTGACTCTTACAAAGGCAGCCAAAAGTGATGGTATCTTTATTTTGGTAGCTTGAGTGAAAGTTTACAGAATGAATTAGTTTTCCACTCAACAATTTTTTAAAAATTTTTAATTTATTAACTTTTTTTAAAATTATTTTTTGTGCATTGTACCATCATCAAATCAGATCTGACTGGTACAGGAGGAGATTGTCCCTCCTCCAGCAGAGCATCTGGTGGATTCGAACTAGGCACATCTGGGATTGCAGTGTAGCTTCTTGCCACTAGGCCACCAGAGCTCCCTTCCACTCAATGATTTATAGACATTTTATTTTGTGATATTGGCTGCAATCCCCTCAACATAACAACACTCTGCCCACTTCTCTGGGTTCTTCCTTTCCATTTGCCCTTTAATTCTATTCCTTCCTACCTCTGGACTTTTGTTTTTGAGCAAATTTTACCCTTTTTGTCTCATATGATTAATTGTACTGAGGAGTACATTTCCCCCTGATGTTATTCTTTACTTTGTAAGTATTTTATTGTTTGAAATTTGACTCTGAGTATGGGTTAAATTGCAGGTTTTACATGTCACAGTTTTGGAAGTTTCATTAGTTTCTTTTAGACTAGTAAGTCTGGTCTTTTTTATATTTTTAAAGTTTGCTCTACATTTCCCCCCTCTGGAAGGATTTTCTATTGGGATTCTAGTCAGAGTGACTGGTAGGAGGAACCCGCCACCAGTCCACCTCACCGCTGGCACCAGTTACACGCAGAGTGCCTCCCATCCCCTCACTGTTCTTCCTGTTAGTCTTTACTCTATCATTGCTTCTTGTTACTTCTCCTTATTGTTGTTGTTGTTATGTGCCGTCGAGTTGTTTGCCACCCATAGCGACCCTATGTACAACAGCCCTAAACCCTGCTCTATCCTGTGCCAATCTCATTGCCCCTGACACACCCATCCCGATTATCCCAGTCACTGAACCAATCCACCTCATAGAGAGTCTTCCCCTCCTCCGTTGTCCCTCTACTCTACCCAACATGATGTCCCTCTCTAAAGACCTGTCTCTCTTTACAACATGTCCAAAGTATGTCAGACGAAGCCCCAGAATCCTTGCCTCCAAGGAGCAGCCTGGTTTAACCCTCTCTAGGATGAATCTGTTTGTTTTCTTGGCAGTCCATGGTACATTCAATACTATTCTCCAGCACCACAGCTCAAAGGCGTCAATTCTCCTTCTAGCCTCCCTAGTCATTGTCCAACTCTCTGATGCATAACAAGTGATTGCAAAAACCATGGCCTGTATCAGGCGCACCTTAGTCTCCAGAGAGACACCGTTGCTCTTGAGTACTTTAGAGAGGTCCCTAACAGCAGACTTTCCCATCGCAATACGTTTTTTTATTTCCTGGCTGCTGGTGCTGAGAGTGTTGACCGGGGATCTGAGCAAACTGAAGCTGTGAACAATCTCAATCTCTTCACCATCCATCCTGATGCTACCGATTGGTCCAGTGGTGAGAATTTTTGTCTTCTTGACTTTGAGCCTCAGTCCTGACTTCCCAAATATTGAACTTAATAATTACACACACACACACACACACACACACACACACACACACACACATTAACATTTATGCAATTCTTCACGCCTGACCTTTTATTTGCCATACAACCACTCTATATGTTAAACACTATTGTTACCCATATTTTATAAAGAAGCTAAAGCTTAAAAAGATGAAGAACAATCTTAATGTACACATGCAAGAAGTATCAAAGTCAAAAGTCCTACTAAGGTTTTCTAAATTATGTCCTGTTCTCTAACTCATCATGAGTCGTTCTCATAACTCATACCTGGGTAGTGGTACAATTGCTTAAGTAGTGCTTGGCTGCTAACAGAAAGATTACATTGGTTTGACTTGATAGCAACTTGTTACTGATTCATATTAATCTTCTTTGATTATAATGAACTATAATTTGACTTTTAAAGATTAACTCACAGAATTATGATACCTAATTAAATGTTGTTGTTGTTGATTGCTGTCAAGTCGAGCACAACTTACAGTGAACCCATGAACAAAAGGCCTGAAGCCCTTCCACAACCATTACCATTTATCAAAATTCACAGAGTGTCCAGAGACATTCTGTTTAGGAAATGATGTCACTTCTGCTTCTAAACCTAATTATATAGTATATTTAAAACATTCTTTTTACAGATGACACAATCTTGCTTGCTGGAATGGAAGACTTTAAGAAGCTACTGAAGATGAAAGAATATAGCCTGCAGTATGACTTACACCTCGATATAAAGAAAATAAAAATCTGCACAACTGGATCAATATACAAAATCATGATAAAAACATCATGGAAAAAAAGACTGGTATTGTCAGAGAGCTCGTGCTAATTGGTTCTAAAATCAACACTCAGACAATCAACACCAAGAAATTAGAAGATGTATTACATTCTGCAAATCTGTTGTCACAGACCATTTTAAAGTGTCAGAGAGCTAGGATGTCACTTTAAAGACTAACGTCTACTTGGATCAAGCTATGCCATTTTCCATTGCTTATATGGAAGTTGGATAATAAATAAGGAATATTAACAAGAATTGATGCCTTTGAATTGTAGGATCAGTGAAGAGTATTGAATATATCATGCATTGTCGAAAGAATAAATACGTTTATGCTAGAAGAAGTTCAACCAGGGTGCTCCTTGGAGGCAAAGACAGTGAAACTTTGTCTCATGTGCTTTGGGCCAGGCCTTGAAAGGACGTTATTCTTGGAAAGATCGGCGAATGAGGAGATATTCAGTGAGTGGGATTGATTGACACAGTGACTGCAACAGTGAGCTTAAGTTCAGCAGAAGTTTTGTGAGGATGGTACAGGATGATGCGAGGTTTTGATCTGTTGTATATAGGGTCACTATGAGTTAGCGTCGACTCAACAATACCTAACAAAATGACATGTTGTTTCCCCAAATAGACTGAAAATTTCTCAAGACATAGACTATATTTCTTTACATTCTTCACACTAATGTACCGGGCACAAAGAAACTTCAGTTAATATTTGTAGATGTGATTTTGAAGGAATTACCAGGATAAAGTTAGTACAGGGGTAAAACGAGAGATATCTCTCTGAAATGGAGATAATATATATTTTGCCAGAGAATTAGCATTTCAACACTTTTTGGGGGCACTGATAAAGGATAATACTTACCTACAGTTTCTCTGGATATAGAGCAAGACCTAAAACTATAATACTTGTGTTTGAAATTTAAAAAGAGATTTAAAAAATCTACCAAACCTTAAAGTCATTATCATCAAGTTGGAAATGACTCATAGCCGACACTCCAAAATGTTTTTGGAGACTGTAAAGCACACAGGGGGAGACTGTGCATTTTACTTTCACAGAATTGCTGATGAATTTGAGTCATCTGAGAGAGGCCAGTTTTGGGGTTGTTAGCAGGCCAACATCCTATTCACCACACTATTAACTCAAAAATGCAAACTCATTGATATTGAGTTGGGATTGACTCATAGCTGACCCTTTTGTGGGTTTTCAGCAGCTGTGAATCACACTTGAGGAGATTGTCCATCCTTCCCCCCGGAACAGCTAATGGATTATAACTGTCTGACTTTAGAGGTTGACAGTGTAACTCTATGTCCACTAGGGTGCCAGGCAGCCTAATAGAAAAGGGAACTTAACAGAAAAGAGAACTTGTAATCTTGTTTAAGGAACCAAAAAGAGTTTACTGGAGGAAGGCTTAAGACAGAAGCATTTCTTTTCACCTGTTTCATCACTTTACTATAGAAGAGGAATTAGATCTGTTTGGGGAACCCTTGAGGTTTGAACCAAGATTGGAATTTTAGGGAAATATTTTGGTTTAAGAGAAAGAATATTTGTAATAACAAAAGACACTCAAATGTGTGATGATTTTCTTTGAAAGTAACTGGGATAACAATACTTCATCAATGTGAGTGTTTAGGTAAGGGTTTCTCACATTTTAGTGTGATTTTTGTTAAAGGCAGGTTCCATGTCTGAAGATTTGGGATTAGGCCTGCGATTCTGCATTTTAAATTAGATTCCAAGTGATGCTGATGCTACCGTCCTTTGTTTTAGTAAATGGCAACTAGCCAACTCTTTGAAAGTAGTACTATACAAGAGAATTAAAGCAGTAGTTGGTGATTTAAGTTTATGAATATCAAGACCTCATACAAATCTTTGACATTGTATTTAGGAGAAAATGGAAATTTAAGGAAGAATTTCTGGCCCCAGCAACATATGAGGAGAATGTGAAAATTGTTTATTAAGAGGCCCTATATCAGCAGATGGAACCCTGCTCGTCCTTCTGCTTCATGGACTTACACATAACCTGGTTTAATGGCAACAGGAGGAGAAAAAACAACTTTTGCATCTCACTTGGAGAGGGAGAAAAAGTACAAAGGAAATCACCCACAGTACTGTAACTTCAACATAAACCCTCTCATGTAGAAAAAGATGAAACTTCAACAAGAGAAATTAAAGAAGATAAAAATATAAGAAGAAATATGCCATCTTAAATTAAAGATTCAAAACCATGAAGATCTACATTCTCTTTAAATTGATTTACAGATCAAGTGTCATCCAAAGTAAAATCCCAGAAGAATTTTTTTTTGGGAAAGAAATTGACAAACTGAATCTAAAATGAAATGAAAATGCAAAGAACCAAGAACGGCCAAAACACCTGAAAAAATTCACTTTACCAGATGCCAATATTTATATCTATATACCCTTGATTTATGATGAAGGTGG